TATATATATATACCATAATAAGGTTATTCAGCTGTAGTTGCCATATTTATCTGGTTTGGCTCCAGAAATGAATTGATCTAATGGTCCAGTCGTTCATGACATATTTAGCTAACAAAGAAAGTTGACTTCAAATAGTAAATGGGAACATTAATAAACACAAGACTTGTGCAATCTGTCAGCACTCACAGTATTTGGGATTTATCTCAGCTCCTTCAACAGTTTTTTTGGGCCTGTATCTGTAAAACTGATAAGAGTCATGTTGTTTGTGCCTTTTGGCTGTGACAAAATGAATCACCTCTAGAGATATATCCTGTCATCACTTTCCGAGAGTTTCGTTCAAATCCGTGCAGGGATTTTTGAGATATTTTGCTAACAGACACAAAATGACACGCACAAAAACAAACATCGACATCAAACAATTGTGAATATGCACTTCCTTCATCATCAACCTTTTCTGATAGCTCGGATGTGGCCTCACCTCCTCCTGAGAGATCCCCGTGTTCATGAGCAGAACGAAGCCGATCTCTACGAAGGCCTTCTTCAGCTGCGCGGCCAGCTCGTGCAGCTGCTCCTCGGTCACATCCTTCTCTGTCAGGCTGTAGGCTCTGAAGTCCACCACCGGGATGCTCATCTTCTTCACACAAAATGTGTTGAAACTCTCGATTCACAGGTTTGGAAGGAACTTGCTGTCAGACAGCGAGCTGTGCGTCACGTGACCACGTTTTAGCCATTTGGAAGAGAAGCGCTCCTGAGCTTCACACGGATTGCGCAACCTCAGGGTTGCCTTTTCACCTTTATCAAACCAGAGGGGAGGGTCCTGAGAACGACGTGATGATGACATTACCTAATCATGCGTAAAACAGTTTAAGAATTAATTTAGAAGTAAGAGAAACGTCCAAAAACAGTTTTTTATTTTTATTTTTTATGGCCAACTGACAAAGATTTACAACCTCATGTCCAAAAGATTGGAATGTTGTGTAAAATGTAAATTCAAACAGAATGTCTATAACTTATTCTTAAAATGTTGAAAATAAAAAAAGTACCATTTCTTGAAAAAAACAACAGACACAGAGTTAAAGTAACTAAATAAAAATACTTTGTTACTTAAGTAGAAATTTAGGGTATCTGTACTTTACTTGAGTAATTATTTTTTAGCGTACTTTTTACTTTTACTCATTATATTTTTACACAATTTTCTGTACTTTCTACTCGCTACATTTTTAAAAAAGGTAAGAAGTAGAAAGTTGTTACTCCTGTTTTATTCTGAGTTATTACTTAAAAAAAACTATCCTGATAAATTGTGTCTCCTGGATAGAGTGAATTTAATTGTGGTTGGATGAGAAGTACAAATATATACCATTCTGACACCGTATTAGCTTGTACACAACCCATCACAGCTGCATGCTGTTAGAAAAAAAATATTTTTTGGAGAAGTCACCTCCCAATAAACGTCATTTTGGAAAATCTATCTGCTCACTTTTACTCAGTACTTTTACTTTTGATACTTAAGTAGATTTTGTGTCAGAAATTTACTTTTGATACTTAAGTGCAAAAAATACCAGATACTTTAAGACTTTAACTCAAGACTCAAGTAATATTTTTAGAGAAGACTAACTTTTACCAAAGTGTTTTTGTGATAAGTTACTTGTACTTTTACTTAAGTATCACTTTGAGGTACTTTAAACAACACTGAACAGATCATTTGGACTCTTATGGCAGACATTGGTCTCTAAAAGACAATCTTGATCACATCAGTCTGTAAACATCAATAAAGTGAGTTTTAACAGAGGAATCTTGTCCTGTTCTTCTCCTGGGTTGTCTTAGGGATTTTTTTTATTTATGATGAACAAAAAGTATTCTTCAGTGAGAGGACTGCAGACAGGCCAGTTTGCTCCCAAACTCTTTTTCTATAAGTCATGTTGTTGTAATAACTGCAGTGTGTTGTTTAGCACTGTCTAGCTGAAATAAGCAAGGCATTCCCCCCCAAAAAAGGTTGTCTGAATGGGAGCCTATTTGGTTCTAAAACCTGTGCATACTTTGGTGCTTTTCCAGATGTGTAAAAGGCCCATACCAGAGGCACTAACGTACCCCATACCATTTTAGAGGCAGGCTTTTAAGCTGTGCGCTAATGACAAGCTGGATGGACATCCCAGTTCTCATGCATGTCTGGTTGTACAGATTATCTGAAAATTACACAGATTTTCCTCCCATTTTGCATGGATACGGATTGGCAAATAAGAACAAGTTTGCCACCTCCTCTCCCTGCACCTCTGCCGCTGCAGATACTGTTATCTTGGCTAACAGTCCACTTGTCCACTTCACCCCTCACCCCCCACCTCTTGTTTTGTGTGAGAGTACTGGATTTTTTTTTTTGTGAAAATCACAGATTCCTGAGGGTCAAAATACAGATAAATGTCAAAAGAGGTTGACAAAAAGGGTTTCCCAAAAAATAAATTTCAAATTTTGATTTATCCGACCAAAGGACAGCTTTTTCCTTTGTCTCAGTCCATTTAAATGAGTTTTTTTCTGTTCATGTGACTTTTTTTTTTGCACAATAGAGCTTTAACCGGGATTTGGATGGCATGGTGAACTGTTACAGACAATGATGTGTGGAAGTGTTCCTGAGCCTGTGCAGTGATAAGAGAATCAGCCTGTTCTTTTAAATGAAATGCTGCCTGAGGGTCTGACGTTAACTGGCATTCATTACTGACTTTCATCCTTTGAGGATGTAGATCTTGAAGTTTTTTTGATATACTGAACCATAGATATATCAGTCTTTAAGCTTCATTGAGCAACATTGTTCTGAAATTGTCCCACTATTTTTAGACACAGTTTTTAGTGGATTAATGAACCTCTGCTCCGTCCAGCTTTACCTTTTTTTTTTGAGTGGATCTTTCTAAACAGCTTTTCTATACAGCCAAAGCAACGTGGTGATAGAGCTAAAGTGTCTCCTTTGGCTGATGAAATGAGTGTCACAGTCAAATAGCGTGACCGTAAAAGAAACATTTCTTTTTAAGTTCTTACTTTAACCTATAGCTCTGTTTGCCATTACCAAGTCATAAAAGATCATCAACTGAGAGCAGTTAGATTGGTTAACTCGTCTCTTCTTTTCTCCAGGAGACTGTTTTTTCATCATCTATGTGGACAGCTGCAAATTTCTGTCAAGCTTGAAGGCGTCTCTTTGAAGAAACACTTTCTTAGTTGTAGCTTAATGTAGGTTACTTAAGGAGCAACGGCGGTGTATTGGGTTAAATTACAACTTTGTCAATGGCTTTTACTGTATTTCTGTTTTGTTTTTGTACAACTTCAGTCTCTATTGAATCATCAAATCAGCCAGAGTTGCTCAACACAGCTGTATTGATAATATAATACAAAGAATAGAGAAAACAGTGGTGGATTTCTGAAACTGATTTCTCTTTGAGGTCACTGTGCGAAACGTTGTTCTGTCAAGTTGTGCTTTTGTTAACCCAGATTTTAGAAAACGAAATCAAACTTTATTTGTACAGCATTTTACCTATGTAGCAACCCAAAGTCTCCCAGCAAAACCAAACTACAATTTGAAAAACACAAAACTATCACGAGTCAAGGCGGAGTGAGTGGACCAGCAATATAACCACAAGCAGTCAGATTCAAAATAAATAAACAGTGCTTTATTTTACAGGTGCGGGGAAGAAAGGGGTGCGGGTCCGGATCTGAGGAGAGGAGGAGGAACAGGTGAGTATCCAGGTCTTGAGTTAACAGAGATGCAGTATCTTTAAATGAATGGTCTTACTTTCAGTGACAGGTCGAAGTTGCTCGGGTCCTGATGGAGCAGAACGTGCTGGGGTGAACACAACGGGTGAGTC